TCATAAAAATAGATAATAACTACACCATACAGCAGTGGAAATTAGCCGACGGCAATAAACTATAATAAAACTAATGTTTTGAGAATCGTTAAATGTCGAAAACACTTGCGCAGTGTCCGCAGCCGTTTTTCACTGCATTGTGTATGCGTTACTTTTACTTTGTTTTTAGTCGACAATAAATTGTCAGTTGTTACTACATGTAAAGCTTTGGCCTACTAAACGCCTCAAATTTCCCACTACCGCGGCTAATTACCAGGCTATAAATAGGTTGTCATATTTTTAAAAAACAAATATTTTTAGAAAACACTACGAAACTTAATTTCTGAAAGCAAGAATAAAACGATCTATAAATTGATTACTGTCCCTGTTAGGCCAGGAATACCGCAGCCAATCAAATGCTTGAATGGAAGATAGTCCGGATCATTTAGTATTTGTTAAACTGTTTGAACTTACAATACAAGACTTGAAGACTGCATCTACTTACTTCCGCTGCACGTGATATTTGAGAATTTTCTTACACAAAGTCACAAGCAGACGCTTTTTAACACGATAAGTACATTGATCACTTAATTACCTAATCAATCTATCCTATTATCAACGATAATCTGGTTGAGTTGTAGATATACACTCCGTACACTATGTTGATTTTTGAATATTATTCACCATACCTTGATGTCCGATTGGTCATATTCCTGGTCGGACAATTTAGGACGTTTGGAAAATATAGCCGGACATGTCCGGAATATACGGCGAAATCCCATCACTGTCCCACAGTATGCTGTGAGAAAAATTAATGTCTCTCACATGACGATGTTTTCTAAACAAAATAGATTAAATGTTATGTTAACAGTTATGCTTTTATAACCATTGCAATGTTTAATCTTGTCTTTAGTGAAAATTGCCTTTATTATTGTCCTCCTTGAAAGGGAATTATTAAAATGTGTTTCTCTGTCTGTCTGAGATAGAATGTTCAAGACTTGGTGAAGGTGTTTATTAGGTGAATGAATGCCTTGACTGAGTTCGATGAGGAGCATTTAATGCTTACCCGGTAGTCTAAGCAGAGATAACATTGATTTTTATTAAGTGAGAGTGATGAAACTTGGTGTATAGTTTCATTACATCAATACCTTGACAAGGTTCAGTAATGAACATTTTCTTCTCAGGTTAAGTAGAGTGATAAACATTTTGATTGGTCAAGACTTTAGAGCTTGATAACTTTGATTCTAATTAAATAAGAGTGGTGAAACTTGGTGTACAGTTTCATAACCTGATTAGTACCTTGACTAAGTTTGATGACTTTGGAAAACAATAACCCTCCTTATGATTTAGGTAGAATGTTTAAACTTGATGTAGGTGGTCATCAGATGAATGCTGTGACTAAGTTTGATTATGATCATTTTCCAACTAGGCTAAGCAGAAATAAACAATTTGATTGGTTGAAACTTTAATACAATAATTTTGATGCTGATTGGGTGAGAGTGATGAAACTTAGAGTATAGTTTCATTACATCAATAAATTGACTATGTTTTAATTGAGGTAGAATGTTCAGACTAGATGTAGATGTTCATGAGGTGAATGTCTCGACTGAGTTTGAGCATTAACATTTTCTGCTAAGGCTAAGCAGAAATTATCAATTTCATTGGTCGATGCTTTGACTCTAACTGAGGGAGGGGTATGAAAATTTATGTATAGTTTCACAATATCAAAACCATGACTAAGTTCAGTCATAAGCATTTTCTGAGGGAGGGGGATGAAAATTTATGTATAGTTTCACAATATCAAAACCTTGACTAAGTTCAGTCATAAGCATTTCCTGCTTAGGCAGTTTGATAGCTTGAGTCTTTACAAAAAGATAAATATGCAATTAAATAATATGTGTTATCTATTTATTTTGGGGTTGGGTTAAGAGACGTCAGCCTCACTGTTGGCTTATTAAAAGAAATGATACCATTTAAAACAACAATTGGTTATAAATGTGTATAGTTCTTTATTTAGTGTATACACATTCCTAAGGCATTATTAGTTCATTAATCATTGTTACACATGACATTTTCCTCCTAGATCTTCTACAGTCTTTCTCAAGGAACCAGGCCTAAGTACCCCATATATTTTGTTACACAATTTATCTATTAATGCCACTTGGATGGAAATGAACTATACATATCCAAAAGCTAAAGCGATACCAGTTTGGGTTGTGTAGAATAGGTTAAATAGAGGTACAAAGTAAAAATGTCTGAGTTTATAATATACTCTTCCAAAAATATAGGGGATATTGAAATGCAATTACCTATGCAGGTAGCGATATGATAAATAGTCATGGACAATTGAAATGCTTTAAGAGTATGTTTACAGATGAAGAACTTATCGCCCCAACAGAACCACTGAGCTACACATGCGGCACGCAATAGCGCCATACACGTGGGAGGGGTTCATTGTCAAATTTGACACTTCAAGGAAGGGTTGATGAAAACTGCAGCGTGCTGGTTTATCTATCCATGTTTGCTTTCCTATCGGTTCTTGCATAAGATTTACTGTTTAGCGTATCTTTGCTTTAGTGTGTTACGTTTAATTTGACCGGCACACGTGTTCGTCGACATCAACGTCAACCGACAACACTGCAAGAATTGACCGTGGCATTGCAAGAGAGTAGTGGGTCAGATTGCGCCCAAATCGAGATTGGACGGTTGATTAGGAGCATGCCAAGACGAATTGCTGAATGTATGAGAATTGGTGGAGCAATTATTCATTATTAAGACAAAAATCAAAAACGTCCATTTTCACAGTGTATCTCTTTGCGAGTGAAATGGGGCCGTCAGATAAGCCGCCCGTATGAACTGTTTATGTTCATGTGTAGGCAATTGACCTGGTATTAACATACACTGGTTACCTCTAATAAAAACAGCAGTGCATTTCCGCAGTTTTGTATTGTTTCTGAATATCCCCTACTTTTTTTTAAGAGTATATATCAACTATTTTGATTAGTATAATCTTTAAGTGGCATTTAGCGATTGGGAAACAAATTAACAGAACAAATTAACAGGCACGACGTTATCAAGCACAATGACATTTGGTAAACTTGAGTTGAATATATATCGTTATCAATGTCATTGTGCTTCATAACGATAAGAGGATACTTGTCGAAACGTCATGCTTTTAGAATAAAACCAGTGATTGTTTCCCATAAAAATTGTGTTCTGTTAATATTTTGATTAGCCTGCCATCTAGTAAATCAATATTACCCATGATTACTAACAAGTATGGTAATGGTTAAGGAGCTTACAATTTTTATACGCCCACATTTTCATGTGGACGTATATTGTCGTCGCCCCTGTTCGTCCGTCCGTCCACAATTGTTTGTGGACACTCTACATGTCACAATTCTAATCCGATTTTGGCGAAACTTGAAATATAGGTTTATCTCCAAAAGATCTCGGCTGCTTTCGATATTGGCATGTATCGGATCGAAACTTCATGGATTATGGCCCCTGTTTGTACGAAAAATCACGTTTTTATCTTGTGGACCTTATAGAGGTCACAATTTTTATCCGATTTTGTTGAAACTAGAAGTATCAGTTTATAACCCAAAGATTTCAGTTCCTATCGATATTCGCACATATTGGACCATAACTTCCTGAATTATGGCCCCTGATTGTACGAAAAATTGCGTTTTTAGCTTGTGGACCCTATAGAGGTCATAATTTTTATCCGATTTAAAAAACGTATCATTATATCACCGTTACAACCTAAGGACGGCTGAGTTCAAATTTCGTCAAAACTGACAGACAATATGGCTGCCGTTCGTTCTCAAATAGCATAAAAATATGGTTTATCAAGGTTGTGGACCCTATAGAGGTCACAATTTTAATCCGATTTTGTTGAAACTTGAAGTGTAAGTTTAGAAACCAAAGAAAAGATCTTGGTTCCTTTCGATATTCACGCATATCGGACAGTAACTTATTTAATTATGGCCACTGATTGTACGAAAAATCGCGTTTTTAGCTTGTGGACCCTATAGAGGTCATAATCTTTATCCGATTTTAAAAACCGTATTATTATATCACCGTTACACCCTAAAGACGGCTGAGTTCAAATTTCGTGAAAATTGGCCCAAAATTGACAGACAAAATGGCCACTGTTTGTTCTCAAATAGCGTAGAAATATGGTATTTCAAGGTTGTGGACCCTATAGAGGTCACAATTTTTATCCGATTTTGTTGAAACTTGAAATGTAAGTTTATAACCCAAAGATCTCGGTTCCTTTCGATATTCGCGCATATTGGACCGTAACTTCCTTAATTATGGCCCCTGATTTACGAAAAATCGCATTTTTAGCTTGTGGACCCTATAGAGGTCATTATTTTTATCTGATTTAAAAAAAACGTATTATTATATCACCGTTACACCATAAGGACGGCTGCGTTAGAATTTCATGAAAATCGGCCCAAAACTGACAGACAAAATGTCCGCCCTTCGTTCTCAAATAGCGTAAAAATATGGTATACCAAGGTTGTGGATCCTATGGAGGTCACAATTTTTATCCGATTTTGTTGAAACTTAAAATGTAAGTTTATAACACAAAGATCTCAGGTTCTTTCGATATTTGCGCATATCGAATTGTAATTTTCTGAATTATGGCCTTTGATTGTAGGAAAAATCACTTTATTTTTAGCTTGTTCTCTATCCATCTCTCGAAAATGTGGGCGTATCCTGCCTGGCAGCCGCTGGTTAAGTGCTTGTTACCATTGATTAGGAAATATATATACAATGTACGGGTATTCAGTGATTGAGAATTGGTTTAACTTATGAAATGTTTCCAAAGTTTTTAGACATATATAATGCCTGTCATTGGTAAGACCAGCACACACATTATTTATCACACAAAAAAGCCATAATCTTGTGCTGATCTTATTGGAGCAGGAAATGATGATAAAGAACCATGTTGCCAATGTATCAGTGATAAGAAATACTTTGTTTTTATGAAACCATATTGATTTTATTAGATGATGATTATCCAGCTTATAAAATACGACCATGGGATTATGGTAAGGTGTTGAGTGTAAACCAGTAACACTGTCTAGTTTCAGAATCTGTATCATCTATTTACCTGCATTATGATATACCTACATCTTGTATTACTGGCTGAATTATTGTCTTGGCTATAAATCAACTAGAAGATTAAAGCATGATATCTTTAGGAATGATTAGAAACAACAGTTGAATTTCACAGTAAATCTAAATTGTATTCTTTACATAGTGACAGGTTTCTCCTTTAATACTATTACATAATGCCTCAATAACATTTAATACTATTACATTATGCCTCAATGTGGCCAGTGACCAATAGACATATTTCCTTTTTAAATAAAAGGCAGGGCTGAAAATGAGTTATTTAATTGTCTGCGATATCACCTCGGTGGAAGCGGACGTAAAATACAACTAAGAAACAACAACATGAGTTATTTAGATACCATCTTGGCCCTAAACCTTTTGGATTACAAGCAATTAAAGATGAAAGTTTGAAATCCACAGTAAAATGACATTGGATAATTAGGTTTTAATATACTAATTGATTGCCAGCTTTTACCATGCTTACAAATACCATCTCTTAGTGTTGTCACTGATTATATGGGAAACCTTTCGCCATGTATATAAACTAAATAATAAATTCCTGTTATATAATGATTAAACAATTATTATTACAGAATGAACATTAATAGATATAAAGTGCATCATGAACTGTCTCCCAAGTTATTATTAATCATAATTTAAAATCTGTGTTTTTATTGTTTTTAAAGGAACTTTATTTGATGACCAAGGTATCTAATAAATCTATACAAATAAAAACATGATAATCATTAACATTTAGTAATCTAGATTGGTTTCACTGGCATTCAGGAATCTAAAGATATCTGTCAGTTGGTGAAGCTGGTCTCTTGGGTCTAGTTAGCTAACTGAGCCTAGCATTGCATTAATGCTTTTAAATATATGAGAGAGTTTGAGTATCTTACAAATACAATGTTCACTTCTACTCTGATTATTGAGATGATGCAGAACAGCCATATTCTATATGAACCTTGTTCTGATCGATCTCTGCTAAATCAAACTCAAAATAAGAGCTTCTTCCTACTAAATCTTGGGCAAAACACCTTTTGGTCAACTTTACTTTTTTGTAATGCATTCAAATTCACTAATAAAATTCTGATTCTGGACGAATAAAGGGTCGTTGTTCATGGATGTACCACGTGTTTTCAGTTATCTTCCTAACTAGATCTGATATATTAGCATTGTAACAACATTAACAATAATAGTTCCTCTAATTTGTGTGTTAGTGTTTGATTTGTTCTTAAACTACTAAAGTTAGTGCTAGTGTGATGACTTTATAATTAAATAATGAACCCACATGTGCATGATGTCAGGGAATTTATAATGTCAGAATTTCTTGTAATCAACCTGACAATTTTCAAAACACAATTTTGTATTAACCTTTCTACCCCTCAAGAAAATATTTGATGTATCTTATTATTTTATACTTTATTCTGTATTGATTAATCCGGCCATTACAACATGTATCATGTACAAAAAATTTCCTGACATCATTTTTGAACAACCAACATGAGCTACATATATTGATGATACGCATGACTGATTTTAGTTCTGACTTAACTGGAAACTATAAAGTAATTTCCTTAGAATATTTATATAACTTAAAAAAACTAAAACATATTGAGTATAACAAGTAGGATTTTATGAATATTGAGAACATTAATTTAGTTTGTTCATTCAAACTGTACTGGAACAAATGAAAGATATTTGATACTGAGAGATTTTACAGTTTTGTCTTTATGATCATATATAGATATAAATATGTAATCAATATATCATTGTATACTTTATAATTAGTATATTGACTAAATATATACACTTTTATTTTTATACCCCCACATTGAAATGTGGTTGTATATTGTTGTCATCCCCGTCCGGTGGTCCGGCGTCCACAATTGCTTGTGTCTAAAGGCTAAAGTTAATATCCGATTGACTTTAAATTTATACACAGTGTTTAAGGTCATGAGACAAAGAAGCCTATAGATTTTCACTGATTTCCGATAATTACTGCGGGAGTTATGGCCCTTGATCACTTCGAAAAATTTTGTGGACGCTCTCGAGGCTAAAGTTAATATCCGATTAACTTTAAATTTATATACAGTGTTAAAGGTTATGAGATAAAGAATCCTATTGATTTTCACCAATTTCTGATAATAACTGACAGAGTTATGGCCCTTGATCACTTTGAAAAATCTTGTGTACGCTCTACAGGCTAAAGTTAATATCCGATTGACTTTATTTTGATTTTCACCAATTTCCAATAATTACTGCCACTGTTATGGCCCTTGATCACTTTGAAAACTCTTGTGGACACTCCATAGGCTAAAGTTAATATCCGATTGACTTTAAATTTATACACAGTGTTTAAGGTCATCAGACGAAGAAGCCTATAGATTTTCAAAGATTTCTGATAATTACTGGCAGAGTTATGGCTCTTGATCCCTTTGAAATATCTTGTGGATGCTCTAGATCAGTGATTCTCAAGCAGTGTGCCACGGCACACAGGTGTGTCGCAAGATCTTCCTAATTGTGCCATGAAAATTTGAACGACACACTAAGAAAATGTGAAAAACCATGTGATCCCAATTGAGTATTAATGGTGTCTACTGATAAGATACTAGCTGCATTTTTATACGTCGCCCCTGTTTGTCCCTCCACAATTTGTTTGTGGACACACTAAAGGTCACAATTTTTATCCGATTTCAACGAAACTTAAAATATAGGTTTATCTCCCTAAGATCTTGGTACCTTTCGATATTGGCATGTATCGGACCATAAGTTCATGAATTATGGCCCCTGATTGTACGAAAAATCGCATTTTTAGATTGTGGACAGTCTAGAGGTCACAGTTTTGATCCGATTTTGATGAAACTTAAAATGCATGTTTATAACCCAAAGATCTTGGTTCCTTTTGATATTCACGCATATCGGATCATAACTTCCTGTATTATAGCCCCTGATTGTATGAAAAATCGCGTTTTTGGTTTGTGGTCCTTCAAGAGGTCACGATTTTTATCTAATTTAAAAAAACGTTTTAGTATATCACCGTTACACCGTAATGAAGGTTGAGTTCGAATTTTGTGAAAATGTGACCAAAACTTCTGGACAAAATGCCCACCGCTTGTACGCGAATAGTGTAAAAATATGGTATATCAAGGTTGTGGACCCTGTAGAGGTCACAATTTTAATCAGATTTTGATGAAACTTGAAATGCATGTTTATAACCCAAAGATCTTGTTTCTTTTCAATATTTACGCATATATCGTATTGTAACTTCCTAATTGTACGAAAAATCGCCTTTTTTAGCTTGTGGTTCTCTGGAGGTCACAATTATTATCCGCTTTAAAAAAACGTTTGATTATATCACCGTTATGCCGTAATACAGGTTGAGTTCAGATTTCGTGAAAATCGAACTTGAAATGTAAGTTTATAACCCAAAGATTTTGGTTCCTTTTCGATGTTTGTGCATATCAGTCGTAACTTCCTGAATTATGGCCCCTGATTGTACGAATTTCGTGAAAATCGGTCCAAAACTGACAGTCAAAATGGCCGTCTCTCGTTCTCAAATAGCGTTAAAATATGGTACATCAAGGTTGTGGACCCTCTAGAGGTCACAATTTTCTTCTGATTTTGATGAAACTTGAAATGTAAGTTTATAACCCAAAGATCTCGTTTTCTTTCAATATTTGCGCATATTGCTAGAGTGGTTATATAAACATGCACAGTTATCTGCCTGACTGCACCGTCCGTGAGATTTTTTGAAGTGAGCAGAATGTAGTCTCGCAAAGTGAATTTGGAGGTCGCAGTAAATATACGTCATAAATAGCATTCCACGTGGTATTATACAAATATGTATTGGTATATAAAGCCAAGTAAAAATACACTCATTACGCGCTTCTACTTTTGTGTTTATTTAATAGCGAACGAGAACAAAAATTTCTATTGCACTCTTTGATTTAATTTTTGATTTGGGTGATTTCGGTCGGTACAGAGCTAGCTGTAATAGCTTCGTTTCATTTCTAACTTTTTAAACCATGAGCGTGGCAAGATAAACTCATTACAACATTTTGGGATTTACTTTTATTTAGTGGTTACAACCTTCAATTATGTGGCGCTCTATTTACTTTAGGAAATCAATATTTGCTAGCTCTAAATACGCAGAACTATTTGAGACTGGAAAATAAACGAAACAAACTTTTTATTGGTAGTCTTTATTTTCCAGACCCTTTTCAATAACCTGGTGTAAATTATTTTCATAATCATAGTATCTTATTTAATTATTCTGTAGCGGGACTAAAATCTAATTACACTCCTTCAAAATCTACAGTTCAAAGAATATCATGTGAGCTCCTCGGTGTATCTTTAAAATATGTTTGGGAAACCTTAAAGTCGGTGAAAAATGCCACCCTTTATACAGACAAAACTACAAAATTTGGCTCTAAATTCGGCACATACACAATAACCGCTGACTCGACACATACGCCACTTATTCTTGGTCTTCGTGAAATGGCTGGTGAATCGGAGCAAATTACATTAACGACATTAGCCGAAATTTTGGCAGATCTCGACGAAATTGCCGGACCATTTAGTAAATCCGTTATTTTCGAAATTAAAAATACCATGTCAGGCACAGCCAGCATCGAAAAGCTTTTTAATTCTTTATTTACACAATACAGAGGCAGTATTTGCGCTAAATTAGTAGAAAACTGGTCAGATTTATCAGATTCAGAGCGAAATATTCATATGAATATTAATCATTTCTTTTGTGATTTTCAATATTTTTATAGCCCAAAGATCTCGGTTCCTTTCAATATTCGCGCATATTGTTAGAGTGGTTTAATGGTCAATTATTTGTCCTTATATAAACATGCACAGTTATCTGCCTGACTGCATCGTCCGTGAGATTTTTTGAAGTGAGCAGAATGTAGTCTTGCGCACG